GTTGCTGTTGCTGTTGCTGTTGCTGTTGCTGTTGCTGTTGCTGTTGTTGTTGTTGTTGTTGTTGTTGTTGTTGTTGTTGTTGTTGTTGTTGTTGTTGTTGTTGTTGTTGTTGTTGTTGTTGTTGTTGTTGTTGTTGTTGTTGTTGTTGTTGCTGTTTATTTATTTTACATCGCATGTCAAACGGGCAGTTCTGCCCAATATTATGAAAGCGATGACCAGATGACAACCAGTAAGAAGAGTCAGAAATGAAGAGAAAATAAATAAAAATAAAAATACCAAAATGCAAGTAACAATGAGGGGAGGCAGGGTCAAGACGAGCAGAAAAATGGATCTCAAATTTACAAGTCGGGTCATCGTAGCATGATTCTATCGAGCCTCAACAGCAGGTTACGAAAGCCATTACATTTAACCGAAGTAAAATACGCGTAGCATGCGTTTGAATTCATGGACAGATACTATGGACTTCATACAGTCGGGCAGGCCATTCCAGAGTCGGCAGCTGGCTAGAAGCGGTCGGCATGCGCCAGAAGCACTGTGGGCCAGGGGGAGGGGAAGGTTGCGTCCCAACTGACCTCGAGTGGTCATGCCTGTCGGCGGGCCTTGCAATACAATTCGGAATGACAACAGCTCCTCGTTCCAGCGCTGGGCAGACACCCAGCCTGGTGTACAGGGGAAGATTGTGGGCCAATGGGTGCTCATCGGCCACGCAACGGATGCAACGTTTATCCAGTTTGGCTACTGTGTTCCGCTGCTCAGCGGACAGTCCTGGGAGAAACGCATTCGACGCGTATAGAATGTCCAGTATGACAAGGGCAGAGTAATACAGCATCGCCTGCCGCACTGTTAGGCAGTGCCGGATCTGGCGGAGGATCCGCAGCTTCATAGCCGTGCGTCGGACGATAGAGGTGACTTGCGGTGACCAGCGAAGATTTTCGTCCTCCGACTCCGAGGTAGCGAGCCGTACTGGTCTGGGCAAGAGGCGTGCCAGTGCAAGTAATGTGGAGGTCGAGGTGTGCCTGCCGTCCAGCTTTGATTGCAAGCAACACCACCGATCATAGTCACCTGCGACAGAACACCCCTCCCAGAAGCCTCCTCAGTCAAGTATCTCGGAGTGACCGTGGACAGCACTTTGACATTCAAGGAGCACATTGACAAAGTGGCAGCTAAGATGGCTCAGAAAATCGGGGCACTCTGGCGCGCACGCCGCTGCCTCAGTGAAGCTGCAAGGGCACGGTACGTGACCTCCGTAGTACTGCCAGACGCCCTATACGCCTCGCCCTCTTTCAGTGGCTCACTGTCGAGTGCTGAGACCAGGAGGCTGCAGGTTCTGCTGAATCAAGCAGTCCGCACTGTCTACGGTGTGCCCACGCGACACTCAGCTCAACCTTTGCTGACCCGGCTGGGAGTTTTCCAGGTGTCAGAGCACTTCCACCAGAACACCTTAGCTCTTGTGTGGAAGAGCCTACACGGTGAGACATCGCAGTCCGTCACAGAACTAATGACTCCACAAATGACCAGAGAAACCCGCCTTCAGCAGCAGGACGGACTCAGTCTTCCAGTTGCAAGAACAAACGCTGGCAAGTCGAGGTACGCCTTCAACGCTACAGGTAAATGGAACAGATTACCTGGAGACGTCCGCTCCAGCACAACTCTGGAGACCTTCAAAGCTGCAGCAGTACCCTACGCAATTGCTCGTTGACTACATGGAACAGTAGCAAATGCCATGTTTGACAATGGATCCGATTTCCAGCTGACTATCATTTCCAGTGCATACACACTTTCTTCTTTCCTTCTTTTTTCTCTCTCTCTGTCTCTTTTTTTCTTCCCTCTTAAGATCTTCGCTACCTTGTCATTGGGAAGAAATTCCCGTTTGGATTTTGCGAAGTAAAACAAAGTAAAAAAATAAAATAAAAAATAAAATAAAAAAAGCACTTGCGTCTTTCCGGTGTTGAGGATAAGCCCTTTGGCATCAAGTAGCCTGGCGACAGCCGACACTGCTGCGGAAAGGGTGATATTGATGGCGTGAGCGCTAGCGTGGCTCAGGTACAGCATGATGTCGTCCGCGAACATTAGTGTACGCACCGGGTCAGCTACTGATGCGACACATCTCGTGTAGATCGCGAATAATATCGGACCAAGCACACTTCCCTGGGGGATACCGCACGTGCAAGCTGTTTCCTCTGAGCGTGTACCGTTGGCAGTGACCATACACTGGCGTCTTGCGCTGAGGTAGTCCGCAAACCAGTCCAGTGCCGTAGAGGAGACACCACGTTCGAAGAGATCCTGGAGCAAGGTCTGATGTTGGACCTTGTCGAAAGCTTTGCTCGTATCAATGAGCACCACGCCGGTATGCAGGTGCTGGTCTGCGGCTCCGTAAAATTGATCTACTGCCAACAAGACTGCGTCCTCTGTGGAGTGGTGGGCTCGGTAAGCGAATTGCTCGGCAGGAAAGAGGTCATGTTCGGTTAGGAGCACACAGAGCCTTTTATGGATCTTTGAAACAACCGGGAAGAAAGATATAGGGCGGTAGTTCTTAGCAGTTTCGGGGTCTCCTGCCTTGAAATGGGGCGAATATGGGCCAATTTCAGCATCATCGGAACCTTTCCCATGGACAGTGACGCGTTCATCAAGATAGTCAGTGACGGGGCCAGGAACCGAGCGCAGTGTCACAACACATAGCAGGGAATTCCGTCGCTACCCGTGGCCTTCCTCTCGTCTACCTTCAGTAGGAGAGCAAGCACTTCTTCGCATGTGGCTGGTTCGAAGCGGTTCAAGCCATCTGCTATGCCCGGTCCCTCAGGTTGGGATAGGACATCAGGTCGCTGCGGATCGCTGACAACTGAACTGAATTGGGCATTGAGGGCAGACGCAGTGAGCTGAGTAGGAGTTGACGAGTCCCTAACGAGTTCTTCCGACCGCAGAGGTCGTTGAGGACCTTCCAACCTTTACAGGGGTTGGATTGTCACGTGTCCGGTAGTCGTGTGTAGTAGGATGATTTCAGCTGACGAGCAAGCCGCTTTGCGGCATGTTTGGTATGTGGATAAAGAAATGGAGCAGAATTCGAGGAATTGCCCGCCACAAGGTTTTGTATGCTTCTGCCAATTTCACTGCTTTTCGAGCAGAATCTGCCACCTTTTCGAGGATTATCGGCACACCCCTATTGTTGTCCCTCATCTTATTCATGATTGCATTGACTCACCATGGAAAGAATTAAATTTAAAAAGAAAGGACCAAAATGTTACATGTTTATTATATTGAACTCGGATAATGAGCCAGCATGAAATGTAAAATAGATAGAAGAAGAAAGCACATGGAAGTGAGTTATAAAGCAACTATCCATGAATGTAACAAGATAATAAGCGGTCAGTACGTGAGATAACAGGGCACAAAACTGACAGGCTACTGAGACATTCAGCGACCTAAGCCTTCTCCAACACATCTCCAGTGCGCAAACCAATAATAAACCGACAGCCTTCCAACTTGGAAGGTTCAAGGTTGGGTAGGACCAAAGAGGGGAAGGTGAGCTTTGCTGCTTCGAATTGTAGTTAGACGGCATTGTCATGTTACTATCATAATCCTGTAACAGTCGGCATTCTTTGTTGCCGTGGGACTTATCTTGTGCACATTTCCGCTGTGCTCGCTTTCCCCTCTTTGGTCCAACCCAACCTTAAACCTTCCAAGTTGGAAGGCTGTCGGTTCGCGCACTGGAGACGTGTTGGAGCTACCTGTACATGTGCATGTAGGTCTTAGCTCTTAGGTCGCTGAATGTCTCAGTAGCCTGTCAATTTGTGCCCTGTTATCGCACGTACTGACCGCTTATTATCTTGTTACATTCATGGATAGTTGCTTCATAACTCGTTTCCATGTGGTTTCCTCTTGACGAAGATATGGAACGATGGCGCTGCTTGGATGACGACTGCACTATAGGTTAGTAGTAGAGCATCGCTGGCCATAACGGCATAAGCGAGGGTCCCTGGTTCAAGTCCTGGTGTCTGGTGGTGACAGTCAATTTTTCTTCAAACTTTTCCCGTTTGCATCTTTCCCTCAAACCAGTGAATGCACATGTACTTCTCAATCAATAGAGAATTCGTTGTTGTTGTTCTTCTCTCTTTTTCTTTCCCTACTAGGTGCTGTTACACTCACTGATCCTTATGCACAGATATACAGCATTCCCTCAGGACCCTCACTAGTGGGACCATTGCTGGGCAGGGAGTCGTAAAATACCGGTATTTTACGACTCCGTGGGCTAGGGCCTGTTTTGGACTCCCCACTCCAAATAAAGAATACAAACAACAACAAAGAAATTCGTGATATTCGATCCAGCCACTTCACTGCTTGTCTGCTAAACTCAGAGACAAACTTGAGTCAACCAGCAATACGTGCCTAAGGCGAGTGTTTGGCCAGGATCAGTATACTTCTATCGATTTCATTCTCACCAAATATACCCTGTATACTTTCTCTCGCTGTGTAAACTAACTTGAAGCTGTTTGTGTTTGTTTTTAGGTGTCTATCTCGTTGCACCAGTCCTCTTTTAAGCACGATATTTACCCCCTGCTCTGCAGCATGCCGCACAAATGCTGCTACCCGCGGTCAAGCTTCAGCCGCTCTGAACCTACCCAGAGCT